TTATATTCTGAATTCCTCACAGTCAAAAGCAGAAAAGCTAGACTGCACGAACGTTACATAAGTTCAACCCAGGTAGCAAAGGGGAACTTACTATCTCGGGAACCAAAAAGCCAGGGAACTGAAATTATAAGGTAATGTCCCCCCTGCCCACAAAAAATCTCGCAAATTTAAAATCAGTTTTTCTGCGAGAAATTTTTGGCGGGAAAAACGATTGCCTCGGGAACCACAAAAGTTAGAAATCTGAGATTTTACGGTGATATCCCCCACCAACGCACAACCCCGCAAGTTTTGATTCAGCCTTCATGCATCCCTGGGTACTACGCACGGTCTCGTGAAAGTTTTGGCAGGGGAATCATTAATTCATAAATTGCAAAAGCTAGGAAGCTGAAATTTTACGGTAATATCCCTTGCCCAAATGCAACCTAGCAAATTTGAATTCAGCCTTCCGCTACTGATTACCAGGTATGACTCCGTGAAAGTTTTGGCGGGGAGAATTATTATCTCGAAAGACAGAGGAACTAGGAGGCTAAAAAAAAAACTTCAGGAGGATGTTTCCCGCCTAATCAGGGACTCCACAAGCTCTAGTTCAATTCCTAAGTATGCCGAAGTATCGCGTACGACCACGTGAAAGTTTTGTCGCAAAAATCGCTCGAAAGCCAGAAAGTTAGGAGGTTGAAAATGTTGGAAAGATATTCACTCTTCGGGTTTTCAAATTCAGTTCTCACATACTTGAGTGTGAAATTTTTACTGGGAGTTTCGCAACCTAGAGACCAGACCACATTCTAACTATTTCTGCACAGACCAAAGTGCAAAGCAGTGGAAATCGTTAGCAGGCAAACGTTCGCTGGACGGAACTGCATAAAACGCACAATCGAACCGATTGTCCTGGGTGGGCGTTACTACTTATCTCCATTATACCCAAGTTCGCTCTTCTGGTTTCCACAGTGATCACGTTTCGCATCCGTGCGATTTTAGCTCAGTGTAATAGTATTGAAGAGGCGGTAACAGTCTATTCAGTTCGATACTTTACGTCCAGATTGACATTAAAACATCGAAAAATAATGAAACTAAGTAAATGGACGAAAAAACCGGAGGCACCAATTTCTATAAAAGAAGCCTCTCAATCATCCCCCATATTTGCCGGAAGCTGCTAGACATGCTACTTATCGAAAGCATCAAGCTAACGAATTGAAAAACTACTAATGTAAAAGCCTGCCAAGAGTCGTCTGCCTAGCAGAACAATGCCAAAAAACTGTGCGTAGCGTGAGAATTCGATGCTATGTTAAAAATTACTAATGCGAGCTCAGTTTCAGCTGGAAATTACTTGAGGAGCCGACACGCGAAAAAAATCCATCGAGCGGCGGCTGAACAACTGCACCATTTGCTGCTGCTGATCTTCCGATAAAGGGGCTGCACAGGCCCATCGAAGGCACCGTAAACCTTGCAGCTTGAGTCTCGTACACCGCTGCTCACTGGTCTCCTCTTCATCTTTACTGAAATTTGCATGTGCCATCAGCAACTAACCTAGCAGAATTCAGTACTCAAATCGAAATACCTTGAAGAGGGAAGCAATCTCTCGCTCCCATCAGAGCTGAGAGGCCTCTTCCACTCACTGAAATTCGACTGCTTTGCTAGCCACAGAGAGCTAAAGCGGCCTTTTACAGTTTGAACTGCAGTAAATGTATTACAGAATGGATGGAGGTGCTGCAAGTGGAAGTCGAGATGATACCTGTTTGAGAGGGGATGTGAGACATTGACCATCTGAATGGCGATGTCGTAGAGCGC